CAACCTTGAGTAACCCAGGTGTTCTTGAACTGCAACTCCCAGAAACCCTAGCCAACACAGCTGGTGGTGAAAGCTTCTGGAAATTGCAGTCCAAGAACACCTGGGTTACCCAAGTCTGAGAAGTACTGCCCTAGTCTAGCTGTAGAAGTATCTGTAGCAGCACCGCTGAATATTTACTGAGGAAAACAGCTCAATATGTTTGTCTTGCCATAGGCAGGTGGAAAAACTGGTAGAATTATGTAGCTGCTTCTTGTTGTGTGGTAAACAGTTAATCAAAAGAAGTGTTGCCCTTCTTATTTTATCAACTGAGATTCATTCTGAGAGCCAGGACTCAGAATGAGGAACTGTAGTACCGACAGATCTTCTTTATCCATGTATTCATGCCACAAAAATAACAACCACCTCCAAACATCTGCAGTAGGTGTGGGTTGCTGTGTAACCTAAAAATAGGGAGTCCTTCTCCTGGATTATCCCCCTAACCAGGCAAACAGTCAGTGTCCCATTTTGGAGTGTTGTCCAAGCATTGCCACAGCTAAGGGCTGACTTTATACTACCTATTGATAAGAGATGAGTGGTAAAACATACAGCCTTAGTTGCTTTGGTGACACTACATAAATAATATGTCCCTGCACTGACCAGTGTTATACATGGGTGTAATGCCTTGGGACAACTTTCTCTAAGATTGAATAAATGGAGTTTGTAAACAAAGAAGAAAGCATCAAGTTCTTTATCATAGAGCCATAAGCTCTTTTGCTTGGTTTCTTTATAGTTGAGATGCATTCATTAAGAAGACGCTTTTTTGACACAAGTTCCAACAGGAGACCACTAAAGAATCATACCAACCAGTTCACAAGTTCCATTCATGAACATTCTTCCACACTTCTCAGTTGTTTTAGGTATCACTCCTGCTGCATACCTAACTTATGACTGTCAGTCAAACCCCAGTCACTTACCACATATGCTGATTAAAACTTACACACAAAGTATATTTACAGTATACATTGCCACAAGGACAAAGACTCTTAACTATTGAAGTGTCATAGGCAGGGCTGGTTTAAGTCATTGTCCCTCTAAACAAGACAAGGTTTGCCTCTGTCAGCACTATATGGGAATCTTCTATTAAACTTTTGGGAGTGGGTTACCTAGTCAATTTTTGAGGATGCAGAACACCTCTCTACTGCCACCACAGTTTAGCAAGAATTTTGGATAATCTAGCAAATGCTTATGAACTTGAGGAGGCGTGTGTCCTGCCATTTCTGGAAGAGAAATTTCTGTGGAATTTTGTTACCTTTACAACAAAAAGCAGTATGTAGCCATAAGAATACATATTATTGTGATTATTCTGAAGTATTTGTATGTGAGATTTCCATTCTATTTGGTGCAAGAAACTTCTCATTGCTTTGAGAAATTATATTTGTCACTGTTTTCTTCCTGAATGGGTCCTGTATTGGATAAGATTCTTTCTAGTAGATTGGCCATATTAGTCTGCTACAGAAAAATAAAACAATAAAGAGTCCTGTGGTATTTTAAAGGCTAATATGTTTTATTTGGCATATGGTCCTGCTATCCCAAAGTGGTGGGCTGGGACTGTGTCCCTCTCAGCTGTGGGAATACACAGGAAGAGCCTTCAAGTGTACTGAAAGATGTAGAACCTAGATATTGAACCCAACAAGTGGCCTGTGAAAAGATGGTATCAATAGCAGAGAGGTTGTGTCTTGCAATGCTTCACAACTCCATGACCCTTTGCATCTCTTTCTATTCTGATCATTTTGGACCCAGAAAAAAAGAAATATAAATGTTGGTAAATTACAAAGCACCTACTACTGGCATTGTCACTAAAATAATTTTCTAGCTTCATACAAAAATAATTTCACCTATGGTTTTAAGGATTTGTGTTTCCTGTTGATTGGGGGTAAGATTTGTATCTATCATTACCTGCAAAGATGACTCTTATTTTCAGGAGAGCCTTATAATCAAATTTTCAAAAGCAACTGATGTTTTGACCTTCAAAATGTTTTGTTGGCAAAGGTCCATTTATTTCTAGCCTGTTGCACCAGGGTATTGCTTTGAAAATGATTATCTTGTTTCCTGTGGCTGAAATCCTTCACGCTTCCACTGAGAAGTAAGTTAGACTTGCTTTAGGCTTCCTTCTCTGTAACAATAATTCTAACAATAGGTCTGTGAGAACTACTTTCAGAGGATGACATCCTAAAATGGTGCCATCATCTTATGAACCTTCAAGATTCCCACTTTGGATTAAACGTTTTCACTGCATTAAAGAGTCACATTCCTAATCCACCAAAACATATATGTATTATGGTCCTGTGAAGATCATCTATACTGCCTTCCCGATACTCATACTTAAGAAACTGCTTGAAATTTTCCTTTGTGTCTTTCAAATAAAGTACATGGAAAGAAGTCATGGTGTACCATACAACTTTTACCATACAACTTTATTACACTTTTTGGTTCAGAATATATTTTTTCCTGTTTTCCTCCTCTAAAAATTAGCTGCGTCTTATGGTGAGGTGCGTCTTATGGAGCGAAAAATATTGTATATAAAGTCAACCATTGAGGGTTTTTCTCATCTCTGATTTCACTCACAGGGTATCTAAAAGAGGCTATCTAGCTAGCTATCCCTCCATCTTTCTCTGCCATGCCTGTGTATTTATGCGGTATATCTTTCTCTTGTCATGAAATAATGAAATCTAGATTCCATAAGGTGAGAATATGTGAGTTAGTTTCTTTAAAAAATGAATCAATTAATTTTAGTTGATTTAAAATGTGTCTATGGCCCCAAGTGCCACTAGTTTAGTCACTAGCTAGAAAATCAGGTTCCTGTTCAGACTGCCTACCCAAGTTACCAAGACACTTGGAGAGACTTAGTGATGAGCCCCTCCTCTCTCTGTTCTTGCTTCATCCACATGGAGAGCAACAAGTCTAAAAAGAAGAAGCATCTGTTCATGTGTATGCCCTACACATAAGCAAGAATCCTGGAAAACTGGGATTCTTGCTTGCATGTAGGAACTACACACGAGTAGGTGTTGCTCCTCTTCAGACACTCTATGTAGAGAAAATACTGACAGAGAGGAAAGGGGCTAGTTGCCTCTGTCCAAGGTTTTTAATAACATGCAGGTAGCGGCTCAAGTCTTCTTAACAATAGAAGTATCCTCAAGAGCCGGAGGTCTTGAGCTTTAGAACAAATATTTGCAGTTGGTTTGTAGTGGAAGAGATCCAAAATATTAAAGGCTTCATTTCTGGTCTCCTGGAGCCACTTTACTTCTATATGAACAGGGCAAGGACCTCTTATGTGTAGCTGCTTGGGGATATTGCTTGTATATATCTTTAAATCTGTATCTGTATCTCACTATAGCTAAGTCAGTCTGCTTGGGGGTATGGGTGAAGTGGGGAGAGAGAATGAGAATGCCTGTTATGTGGGGACAGGAAAGTGAGGAGAGGGAGTGACTGAATGAGGAGAAAATAGAGTGGAGGAAGAAGAGAAAAATCTGTGAGCAAGAAGAAGGAAGGCATGTGTGCTTACCATACTGACCAAGTGGCTGAATTTTAATTGAATTTAATATTGGGAAACATATGTTCCTTGAATATTTGCATCTCCTGAAGCTCTTTAAAGATATGGGAACTATCTGGGGGGGGGTAGTAAATGAAATGGTACACAAACTAGTACTCATGAGAGGTACACAAAACTCTTTAGGCTGCACATTGTGCACCCTTGCATAATAAAAAAAGAATCAAAGACAAACAACCACTTGTTCATAAAGCAACTCTGAAAGGAAGGATACATGTGCCCCTCACTCTCTTTTTGTGTGCATGCATGCACATATGTGGATGCGTGCACATGTACATGCAGCCTTTTTGTGGTCCACCTCACAGTAATCATAGTGAGCCAGTAATTTGCATACCTTGCAAATGTGGACATTTAGATTTGGAGAATAAGAATATGATGACCCAGAGAGAATGAAACTTCTAGTGCCCGACAGGAAGGAGCAAAGTTGAAAGGAGTGTTGAATGAGAACCAAAATGGAGGGAGAGGAAGATCAGCAAGCCAGAAAGACTGGGAGGGGAGAGAAAAGTCAACAGTAAAGTGAGTGGGACAAAGAGGTTTCTGGCTCAGACGAAGCTTTTGTAGGCCGAATGAGTACTGGATAAAAAGGAAGAGAAAACGTTGGTTTTGTTTTTTCTTCATGGGGAAAGGAGAGAGGGCACTGAGGTGAGAGTGGAAAAATTGGTCTGTAAAGTGAGCAAGGATGGGTAAGTTCATTATTGCAGTCTGATCCTCCCTCCCTCCTTGCCAACAGAGAGAGCTATAACTAGGGGTAGGACTTTGCCTCAGAGCCCAAAATTTAGAGAGCACCAAACTTTACAGGTGAGCTCCCCTCGCCCCGAAAAAAGTGACAAACTTCCCAGCTCTATTGCTTGAGCCAGGAAACAACAGCCTGCCCCCCAACAGCAGCTTCCCTGTCAGAAAGAGGAGGAAGAGATGACACTATGGCACTATGTCCATCCTTTGCCTCCTCAGACAATGATAACCATTGGTGCAGCTTTATCCTATGCCTGGCAGATATATTTTGGGGCAGCCCTGTTCCCCCTCCACAAAAGGGGAGGAGAAGCCTCATGTTGGAGGTGTGGGAGCCAACTTGTTACTTACTGCTTTAACAACAGATAGAGCTAAATAGGCCTGTTTAGCAGGAGAAGTACTGGAAAAGGACCTATTTTACATGCACATTAGTACACACATACACACACACAAATAAATCCCACCACCCACCCTTATTTACTGTTTCTTCTGGATTCATGATACTTCCCCATTTCAGTAAGCTGGGCTTTCCCAACCTGGAATGTTTATTAGACCAGCCTTCCCTACTCCATGCCATACTGATCTGTCGGTCTTTGCCGGCCAAGAAGGATGGGAGTTGCCCAGGTTGGGGAAGGCTATATTGCCCTACAGGTTTCTGAAAAGCTGTTTTGTTTCTGTCTTCCAGCTGCCATTGTCATTCAGAAGTGGTGGTGTCATATGAATCCCTGTCTGGAAGGAGAAGAATGTAAAGTGCTTCCAGATTATTCAGGTTGGTCGTGCAGCAGCGGAAACAAAGTTAAAACTACTAAGGCAAGTTCATGGATACAACTCATTCCTTAAGGACTAGCCAATGTCATGTTGAATTAGGGACGCTGCCAAACTAGAAAAGAATGGTGGGGGACCCATGGTTGGATGTCCATATATTTTTTTAAAAGCCATGACTGATGTCCAGATTCAGCCAGGTCTATGTGGAGTAGGACAGAGTGAGGCAGAAGGTTCAACTGACCTTTTTCCTTATCTAAATTCTAGTGCATGAAGGATTTCTGATTCTCAGCTGCATAATAACAAGAACTCCTTCTCCATTAAGCGAAGCAGACAAGCAATGCCGGGAAGCAGGCAGATGAACTATATATGAAAGGACTGTGTGGCATGTTCAAAACCAATAATTTTACACCTGGCTCCACCCAACACAGATTCCTAAGCAAAAACAGATTCTGCAAACTTGATATTTGGAACGCTGTTGCTCTGTAATCATTCCTTTATGAGGGAGAAAACCAAGGAGTACACTCCTTGTTGTTTTTGCATTTTTCTGCTGCCTTTGTATTGCAGGCATATGGGTAGCAGTGATGGTAGAGGCAATGATGATCATAGTAGCAGCATCAGCCCAGGATTAGCTCATTCAAAAGTAGTTTTAAAGTGATGTTTAAGGGCTAATCCCTAAAAAAGAGGAACACAGAAGAACCATCATATCAAATACCTTTGGTGCATCATACAGCTAGACTGATACACCAATCAGGTGCAGCGTGATCATGGACGAGACTGCTGCAGATTCTACGTGCTGTTCACACTTTTAAAGAAAGCCTCCGTTTTCAAGGCCCTCTTAAAGTCCTGCGCTGAAGGATCCAATCCCAATTCACCTGGGGTTTGTGTGTGTGTGTCTGTGTGTTGATTAGAAGGGGAAGGCCTGAGCATAGGTGGGCACAGAGGGAAAAATTACAAGGGAGTAGCAAAGAGCAGGAACAAATTGAGATTAAGCAGAACCCTTCCACACAATGATGGCCACAAGTAAGAAGATCAGCAAAGTAACTGGGCCTTCGACTGCAAATGTGCCAGAACTGTATCTTATTACATGTGTGAGTGTGGTTTCCAATTTTGATGTAGGTCTTTGCACATCTCTATAGTCGGAGATTAACTACTGTGCTGAATTAGCACCCAAGAGTGTCCTAAACTGGCTTTGCTTCATTAAAGTAACAAGCTATTAACTCCCTTCTTCAAAGGCGAGATCCCTGGGTGTGCAATCCACATCCCACTGAAGTTGGTGGCAAAGCTCACTTTGATCTTAATGGGTTAGCACTGCACCCAAAGGTGCCGCAAGTATCTTTAATTTGATCGGATGCCTGTGGTGGGACTTTTTTTCATTTTCTTCTTATTTTGTGAATGTGTATTTCACAGAGAAAGCAAGGGAGGAGGGAACCAAGGGAGTATCAAGATAATGCCTATAAACCATGTTTTATTCTGAAAATGCAAATGCAGTACTCCAAGGCTCCTTATGTGTTAGCTGTGGCCCCCGGCTTCTTTTCTTGACAAAGTCTCGTTGTGAGTTCAGTATATAAATTTTAAATTTCTAGATTCCTGCAAGTTCAGCCCTTTTCTCTGGCACTTCTAGACATAAAAATTAAATTCCCCAAGTCATCATGAAGCAGGAGAATGGGTTTTATGATTATCATCCACTTTGGGAATAATTCCAGATTCATAAAAAGTTGCTACTGTTGTCAATCCCAGCAAAGGTGCTTTGAATTACATAAAACTTTTTACTACTATGCATAAAGGAGAATTCCCTAATAGTAAACTCAGGCCAAATTATCCTTATGTGGATTGGGCTTTATCTTGCTTAACAGGGTCACTTTGAGGTGTAGTGTGTCAGGTGAGGTGATCCTTGCATCCACATGCAAGGATTGATCACACCACATGTCAAGCAAAAAACAGAGAGAGAGAGAGAGAGAGAGAGAGAGAGAGAGAGAGAGAGTGCTCCTCACTTTGTTTTGCTTAATCTGTTTCACCATAATGAGAAATTGAACGATTCCTCTTTCTTCCCCATGAGGGGGAGAGAAAGGAAGCACTCATTTTTTCTAAATTATATATCACCCACCCAGCGAACAGGTCGCAGGGAAGTTCACTGTCTCTCCCATTACTCCTGGTTCTTAGCCATAAGAAAAAGCAAAGAATTCACTGGAACAGTTTCTTGTATGTTCTCTCAGTGCTCCGCTGGGCCTCCGTGTCTGTGACCAGAGAGTCCTAAGCAAGGTAAGGCTCTGAGTGAAAGCCAAAGAGGTCAGTCACAAAATGGCACTCTTCCTCCGTATCCTCCGTTCCTTACATTTGCCTTCTCTTTCCTATTTATAGGAACTTGCAGAGCTTGTAGGAAGTTCCAAAGTGTGTCAGATTTAGATAGCCATAAATCAGAGTGTTCCTTTCAGAAAGCCATTTGTTTCATTCTTCATTACAAGCACCAGAAAACAATTCATTGCTGTTTCAACATCTCTCAAAGCGGTACTTTGCACTGCTCATTAAGGTATCATTATATTACTTCTGTTTTATGGAGGTGGCAGAGTGTTCACACTTTGTTTTTTTATTGGAAAATAAGATTCCTGTGCCATGCAAAGCCGTCTATAGTTGGCATAAAACCTAGCCTAAAGTGATGCCCCTCTCTAGCCTTGATCCAGTTGAGACATCAGCTAACGGGGTTCTGCATGAGTCTGAGGGTCATGTGCAGCTGATAGGGTTCCTACATGGTGCCTGTGTTGTCATCACATAAGAAAAGGTGTGTGTGTATGGGGGGGGGGAATCCTAGAGAAATAACCTTCTGGCCATCTTGCACAGATAGGGAAGTGCCCTGCCCATCCTTCCCTGTCCTTCAAAATGAGTAATGCTAAACAAGTGTTACTGAATGAAGCAAAAAAACTAGGGCTCGTTGCATCACCTGTTGCCGTGCGGTTGCCTTTCTTGGCTTAGAATGTGACTCATGGCAAGTAATGTTATATCTGTTAACAAATTGCTTCCAAGCTCTGGAGATTGTCCCCAAATTATGGCAGGTTCAAAGCCTCAGGGCCAAACTGCCTTCCCTCAGATGACATAATTTGTCCCATTTTTGGAAGCAGTCCAGATCTCCCCAGAGTGGCAGTTTTTGGCCTCAGTTCATGACTCCGGCGCAGTCTTTGCACAGCTATCCTCTCTCCATTCAGAATCATAAAGTGGCCACTTAAAATGAGGAGTAGCTGCTATTGGGGTTATTTGACTAGGTGGAGAACGTATGAGTCACAGAGGTGTTGCTTAGAACGAAGATTTGTAGGCTGTGAAGCCCCTGAACATACATATATGTGAAGCTACACGTTGTATTGCTACCATGAAATAGTAAGTGATGATTGCAGCCTAGCATTCAAATATCTTTGTCAGCTGAAATCAATAAGATTTAAGTATGAATAACTGGATACTGGATAGTGGCTAATAGAATTCAGATTCAACCACTGCGCCTTCTTTAAATCTTCCTGAGGTACAGGTTATATAGCTGTTAATAGCTTGTCACCATCAGCTCCGTTCAGTAAACTGCTGTGTTTTGTTGGTATGAGGGCAAGTCATACCAGTGGGATGAAGAAGTATTCACTGCTGCGAATTGTTCACAACAGCCTGCTGTAGGATGGCTTTTTGGATTCCCAGTGATAGTGGAAGAGCAGATTAAGACCAAACCGTTCTTACAGCACAAACAAGCAAATGTTGATGCGCTTCACATAAAAATGTGGGCTCACATGGAAGTATTTAATGTGTCAGTTGAACATGGACAGGTTGAAAAACAAGTGTATTCAAAAGCAAATGGACCCATGAAGGTTTTGGAGGCTACATATCCCAGGTATGGAATATATAGACAGATAGCAATCTTACTGGAGTGGAGAAAGGTAACGTGGTTAGATTTTTAAAAACTACTCCTTAGTTCTGTTGCTGACACTGTCCCTATTGCCTTTGGACATCAACAAGATGGTTAGAGAGAATACACATCAAGAGCTTAGCCTTATCTGTTTGGCATGTACTGTGTTGGGTCAGAAGGAACAAATACAAAATACTTGTGTAATGATGTTTCTGCATGTTGTTAATAGCTACAATAACTCTGAACCAGATGAATTTAGGCATACAAATAAACACTTTTTGGAGTAATTATGAAGCTAAATAAAAACTAATGGAACACATTTTACTGTTTATATTCACTGAGCACAGCTAATTAACAGAGCTGTTTTGAAAGTGTACATAAAATGTACTTAGAAGCCATAAACACTAGGTTACTTACCTAAAGCAAATAAAAGCTTTCAAACTTGCTGAAACTTTTCTTTTTGCCTGAACTTAGGTCTTTTTTTTTTAAATTGCTCTGAAGATTCCTATCTATCCTTTGGCTCTTGATAAGTTGCCTGTATTTACTTGTGAAACATTAGTATTCACCAACCCCAGCTTCTTCTACTTTCCTATTCTTGTTCCTTTGAAAGCACACAAGATAAAAGAGAAGAGTAAAACATTACCTGGAAGTTATTAAGTACCATTATTTTAGCCAATTTTATGCATTTTTTATATATCAAGAAGGTATGGCTCTCCAGATGTTGTAGAATTGTAACTCCCATACTCTCTTGCAATTAGCTATGCTGGCTAGGGCATTGCAGGAATTGCAGCCTAACAACATCTGGAAGGACCCACATTGTAAACAAATGCTCATTTCTAGTGTCTTCATCACTTGGGCTCAGGTTCAGAATGGTATAAAGGTGACATCCATCAAGAGGATATCAAATTTAGGAACCTTAAACAGTAGCATCCCAGACTCTTCTTCCTTCACCCAAAATTAACCAGCCTGCATTTGCAGAAATGGTGAAAACTTTGGGGAGTCTTTTCGTGAGCATTTCTGAAAGGAAAACTGCCCACCTGTGGGAAGCCACCAGTGCCCTTGTTCCCAATTTCAGATTCTGGCTTGAGGACAAGCCGTGACTTGTCCAGAACATAGTTGGATAAAATAGCAAATCATGGTTTGTAGCAAACCATGATCAAGTGCTTCTTATCTTCTTTCCTCATCAGGGTCAGAAAAGAAGGAAAATGTAACACCATTCATGGATTGCTTTCTTCTGCTTAATTTACCAATTCAATGATGAACTATACTTCCACAGTGCCTTCTAAGTTATAGCATTTGACTGCCAGCAGTGGAGTGCCTAATGTGACCATTTGTAGACAGACTGTTTGGAAGTTTGAGATCACCTGTGTTCTAGATCCTTGCCTATCATTGCAGTGGAGTGCCTAATGTGACCATTTGTAAGTTTGGAAGTTTGAGATCATCTGTGTTCTAGATCCTTGCCTATCATGGTATTTAAAATCAGCCAGAAAGGATTTAAATTTCATTCTAGAATGAATAACAGCATGTTAAAATGTGAAAGGAAATACCTTAGTGCTAATTGAGGGTAGCTAAATTAGAACACAAGTAATATGTACAATTCTGAGGGTGAAATCAAAGACTTCTTGGGTTTTTTGCTTTTGTTTTACAATCTCATTTATTACAAGACACTACACTCAGCAAACACTATCTCCAAGCATCAGTTCAGCATCCAAGGTAAGCATCCAGCTTGCATCCCATTAAGGACAGCCCTGTGTGTTCTACCCCAGTGTCTTACATTGACACAAGTAATATGTACAATTCTGAGGGTGAAATCAAAGACTTCTTGGGTTTTTTGCTTTTGTTTTACAATCTCATTTATTACAAGACACTACACTCAGCAAACACTATCTCCAAGCATCAGTTCAGCATCCAAGGTAAGCATCCAGCTTGCATCCCATTAAGGACAGCCCTGTGTGTTCTACCCCAGTGTCTTACATTGCTACCCAGTTCCAGCTTGCATCCCATTAAGGACAGCCCTAGAAATGAGCATCTACCCCAGTGTCTTACATTACTACCCAGTACAAATACTGTTATTGATCTGTGTGGACTACTTACTCTGGGGACTAGAGGGTGGCAGCACAGCTTTCTTTGTTCCGGAAGAGTTTTCAACTCCTTTTGACAATGGTGTACTGTACTTTTGTTCTAACTGTCTGGACTCAGCTGGGGAGGTAAGATGTTGCAATGCTTCAATCCTTCCCAGATGGTAAGAATGCAAGAGTGGTAAGAGTGATTTCTCTTCTCTTCTATTGGGTTTGGCTTATGGACTAACAGGATTCCATCCTGGCCCTCATGCAACTCTATCAAGTCAACATCTCTATCAAGTCACTGTGAAAATAATTTGAGTGTTCATGCTGGGATGTAACCAAGGAGCAGATGGCACACAACACTGTCTCTTTTCTCCCAACAGTTTGGAAGTATTAGGTTGGAAAACAGAAGTACGGCAGCTGGCCAGACTCATAGAGAAAGAAGGCATTCAGCTGAAGATATCTAGCTGTTTGATGGCCAGGTTTTTGACCCAGTATTTTTGGAGGGCTGTATGGACTTCAAAATAAGTCAGAAAATGGGAACCAATATAAAAAACAAACACAAATAGCCAAATAAAAAAAACAAAAACCGATTAATCCCATAACCAGCGGTTTTTATTCTATTTTTGTTCCATTTTGGTTTTTTTCTGGTCTGTAAGTCAATTCTCCGGCTGCAAGTTGAATCTAAATTTTGCAGCCAGAGAAGTCTGTAACTCGAAAAGTCTGTAAGTCGAGCCGTCTGTAAGTTGAGGGTCCACTGTATGGACTTCAAAATAAGTCAGAAAATGGGAACCAATATAAAAAACAAACACAAACAGCCAAATTAAAAAAACAAAAAAGAAACAAAAACAAAATAAAAACTGGTTTTGAAAAATTGATATTTGGAGTGACATATTAAAGAGGTCCTGTGGCCTAATTAAACGGTAAATAGCTGCTCCCAGAAGTGTTTGGATGTGGCTTCTCCTTCCTCCCTCCCTCCCTCCCTCCCTTCTGACTTTCAATATAATAGTTGACACATCCTGTCCAAAATCCAGTTGAGAAAAAAAAAGTGCATAAGGACAGTCATGCAGTGGTTATTCTCTTCCAGAAGGTTGTCATTTAGCTGATTCATTGCACACTTGAGTCACAATCAGTGCACAGTCAGTTGTGTAAAAGAGATGGGAGGGGAAAATTGTGTGATTGCCCTTCAGTGAGTCAATAAGAAAAATAATTATGGCTTTGCTTTTACTTTATATTGTATCAAGACTTGTATTTCTTGGTGAGTAGATTCAGACTTCTCAATTAGGAACATCTATCCTGCAGTGAGTCATTCCTTCTCTTCATCCCTAAGAGATCTCTAGAGGGAGTTACTCTTCAGAGTATGTATCCACACTTGGGAGGCAATGTAGACTATGGATGGAAGTTGTCATTGTCTTGCAATAAATTGCATCAAATGCTATATTCAGACACAGGCATGCACACGTACCTGAGTCAAACCAAGCAGCAAAGATGAGGAGGAACTGCTAATTGAGAAACTGTTCATTACTACTCTTGGTATGAGCCATCAACTCGCTGCACATCATTAATATGCTTAAAGCAGTGATAAATTCAAAGTGCTGCACCTAAGAAAAAGAAACCAAACACACAGTTACAAGATTAGTGATAACTGGCTCAGCAATACTACAAGTGAGAAGGATCTTGGAATAGTCATATATCACAATAGCGTAGTGTGACTTCCAAAAAAAAAAAAAAGCAAATGCTATTTTAGGTTGCATTAAACGAAGTATAGTTTCCAAATCTTGTGAGGTATTAGTTCCCCGATATTTGACACTGGTTAGCCTTCATCTTGAGTATTGTGTTCAGTGTCCAGACTTCAAGAAGGATGCAGACAACTTGGAACAAGTTCAGAGGAGGGCAACAAGAATGATCAGGGTCCTGAAAACCAAGCCTAAGAGGAAGGACTGAAAGAACTGGGCATGTTTAGCCTTGAGAAAAGAAGACTGAGGGGAGATATGATAGCACTTTTCAAATACTTGAAAGGTTGCCGTACAGAGGAGGGGCAGGATTTGTTCTTGGTCATCCCAGAGTGCAGGACACGCAACAATGAACTCAAGTGACAGGAAGCCAGATTTCAGTTGATTATCAGGAAAAACTTCCTAACTGTAAGAGCAGTACGACAATGGAGTGAATTACTTCCAAGAGGTGGTGAGTGCTCTAACATTGGAAGCATTCAAGAGAAATGTAGACAACCATCTGGTAGATATCCTTTGATTTGTATACCTGCATTGAGCAGGGGCATGGACTCGATGACCTTATAGAATGAAATCCTATTCCATAGCTTATGCTGCAGTGATTTTTTTGAAATAAAAATTATTTAATCCTCTGCAAAGGTCCAGATGTTCCCATTGGGGGCTCTTGTTATGTGTCATCGTGTAGCCCTTGATTTATGACAACGTCATGAATTAGCAATCTCGAAGGTGTCCTGTTCTCGACAGCCCCACGAGCTCTTGCAAAGTCTATTGCTTCCTTTAGGGAGTCAATCCATCTTATATTTGGTCTTCTGCTTTTCCTGCAGCAGGAAAAGAAGGACATGGGATGGCAAAAATCTTAATTTCTGAACATTGCTACAATTAGTGAAATAATCCTAGCAGCAGCAATTTTCAGAAATTGAGGATTTCCCTTGATCCAATGCTCTCAGCAGTTTCCCCAAGAAGAAAAGAATATCCTAAGGACCTTTGGGGGAATCAGGAATTTTTCATTTCTGAAAAACTGCAGTAGTTGATGATGTCATCTGCCTTAGGCAGTATAGCTGTGCTTGCAGGATTTCAGCCAGTATCTAGGTAATACAGTTCAACATTTGAAACGATCAAAATGGTATGGAAATTCATAAGATCTCTGGAAAAATCTCCCTTGTGCTGTTACTCTGTGGAGCTGTTTACATGAAAGAATCTCACTTTCCTTTTTCTTCTTCTTTTGCAGGTGACACGGTAGCAAAATATAAACATGTGCCAAAGTTGGAACAATAGGATTTACAAGTGTGCTACTGACCATAGCAGAGAAACATTCACTTCATGAGGAAAAAAAAAAGAAACACCAAGCGTGGGCTTCTCAGATTAGTTGGCAAGAACTGAACCAGTACTTATTTTTAATCATAAGAATCATACTCTACTTACAACTTTCTTACAAATGCCAGTGTACCTTTTAAAGACAGAAACTATGAGGGACTTCCACCTTCAAGACAAACATCTTGTGAAACACTGACCAAAACATATTTCAAAGGACATCATCTACAGGACTTTGTGTATGGCATTGTAAATCCTGAAACCTAGATTCAAAGAACTTGAGAGAAATTATGAACTGAAGAACTGGTAATAATTGAGATGAAGGGGAATGACCGTGAAAATGATACAAAAGACAATAGAATTACTGTTAGAAAATCTGCTTCAGTATATTTTTACCTGGGATTTACTAAATATCAAATGAAGTAGGGAAGTAAACCATGATGCTTATTAAATAAGTAGACCATATCAACCTTTATCTTCTGTTACAGACTGTGCAGTTATGTTTCTTCCCATTTGCGTAGTGTTAAAGGCAGTAGTGAGATCTCTGGACCAATAACAATAGTGTAGCAAATGGTTCCATCTACTTGGGAAATAGCAAAATAGACATCTTTGTTGAGCTTTTGCTTCTAGAGAACAAAATCCCATTAATTATGAATTTTCACTCAAGAGAGATTCCTGTTGACACTGTGGAAGGTGTAGGACCATGGACTGAAGCAAGCTGCAGTTTTGGAGCACAGACATTTATTGTATTGGAACTTTCCATTCTGTGTGATCCTTATCCATAGCAGAATCTATTGCCTCATGTGCCAGTGGTACCAGAATGGCAACCTGTGAATAACATGAAAGGTTGGTCCTTGTCTAAGAGCAAGCGACACCAGAGTGGATACTGAAACAGACATTAGCTAATTGATGGAAGGTCCTTCTTGTAGTTATGGTGCCCCAAAAGTTGAGGAACTTTGAAAAAAGGGTTAAAGAAGCTTATTGTGTTCTCTCTCTTTTTGCCCCATTCACTGCAGAAGAAGCATTTCGATAAACACTAAGCCACCAGATTCAGCTCAAGGCTGTGCCTAGGAATAGAGAAATGGAGTCAGTTACCCTGAGTGCCTACAGGAGGCGACACTGTTGCAGTTTCTGTGGTGGTGTAGCCACTGCCACAGAAAATAGATTTTCTTCTCCCAGCCAGAGATGGGCAGCTCCACAGCCTTCTTCTCAAGCACCTCCATGGAAACATCTGTGGAGGTTGCAAGCCGGTTAGACATGTCTCTCATTGCACTTTTGTGTCCATCACGTTACTGTACATATATTGTTTCACAGAGGTTTTTAAAAAGGTTCTTAAAACTGCTGCTACCTTTTTATCTTCTTCTTCTTCTTCTTGCAAGAGCAGCAAGTGTGTATGCGTGGAGGCAGAGAACAGTGAGGAGTATATTTTGATAGGGAAAGTGAATTTATGAGGTCAGGATCTATGAGGTGTATTGGGATGTTATATTTTTTACGGAATTGCAGTAGTTTTAAAGGGGAGAATAATGGCATAAACATAGCCTAAAGCAAAGACCTTTAGCGCTAAAAAGAAGCCCAAGACTGTGACTCTCTTTTATTTATTCCAAGTTACATCACTCTCTTTTCCAAAGAAGAGCAGGGCTGCAAACACCTGTACTTCCCCACATATTATCCTCTCAACATTTCTATAAAGTGGCTGGGAGCTGAATGACTGTCAATCTTTTGGTCTGAGGTCATCTAAACTAGGAGTCACTCTCTTCCTAGGAGTAAACCCTGCTGAATCAATGCAGCCGCCTTTAAAAAGAACATAGATGAGAAGGAAAACTGCCCAAGTGCAAATGTTCAACAATTAAAAGCAGTGCCCTGGAGGCAGGGGCAGTAAGCACCATGATACCTTTCCAAGGGTGCCAAGGAAATGTCTCTGGATCAGGTTTAGTTTGGTCCCCTGATTGAATAGGCAGCTTGCCCACCTCACCCCTAAAACCAGCTGTAAGGGCAAGAAAGCGTATTGAGTTCATTGTACCACAAGACATAATACAGATTTTCTTCTAACCTTTTCCATGTAATCATGAAATCGTGATAAGTGATAATCAGGTCCCTTACTAGAGACTGCTCTGGAGCAACAGAGATATCTAAGATCAGGCACAAGCATCTTCATTTCTGTACTGTGTTAAGAACCCCTGATTAGTACTTCTTGGCATCTTGTACCATAGCTCCGACTTACCTGTTGTGAGGCTGCAGAGTCCCATGTTGTCTTATAATTCCACTGTAGCAACATGGAGGAATGTTGGTCATAAGACACTTGGCTGCACTGGGACTGAGGACCAAATTATTCATACTGCAGCTGAGAACATTATTAGAAGGGAACTGCTTTGTTTGGCTTTTAGAAAAAATTCTGATAGCATCTAATAGTAGCATAATTATTGCTCATAAGTACCATTCTAGGGAGAAAGAGGATTTTCGCTTTCAGTTAGTTGCTGTTTATAATGATTATAATAATTAAATGTCCAGTCCTTCGAGATGTCACATTTTCTCATGCATATGATTTATGACATACAATTGTTTCCTATTACTTTAGTTGTATCTCATTCCAGTTCCTGTCTTTCCCTAAATGCTACATGCTCTTGTTTTGTCATAGGCTGGCACAAACAGAACTGTAAAGGGAGGCAAATTTATGATCCGTCTGTTCTGGATTGCATCATTGGACTTTAAGACGCATTTGGAATGCATTCAGAGGCAGCGATGCAGACACATCTCTCTGCAGATGAACTGTCATTGACCCAGCAACGGCTATGCTTTATGTAAATTTTACTGTGTTGATGTACGACCAATTTTTGTAGATTCAGAAATGCCAAAAAACATGGAGATGATGTTGCACTAATTTATTTAATTGTGTACAGGATTTGCTCACTACAATGTGGAGCTGTCTAGAACAATAGTTGTCATTGGCTTTATTTTGTAAGAAGCATCTTGAAATATTCATACAAGCATTTCAAAACCTTCACATAACATTCCCTCTCTCTACACTAGAATGAAATCCAGTAGCTTCCCCCCCCGATGCTTAATGTTTTAAAACAATTATTGTATTAGTTATCTAGTAAATTATCTTTTCCCACTTTGCAATATGTTTCCAAAAATTATACTCTCTGCTTTTTGGGGACTAGGTGATTCACCAGGGATGGTCTTTCCCAGTAAGTGCCAATTTGATCCAATGTTTTTATCACTTGTTTGCTTTTAACTTGCACTAGTTCTCTAGGCTAAATAACCATTTCTAAAACAAGGCCTAATTATTCTACATTAAAAATGGCAGAAATAGATAAATGTGGAGCGGGGGGAGACATGCAAGCAAAATAATTGCTTATTGCTTATCCTGGATCATAAAGCACTTCATGGAATGCTGAATCTTTGGTAGGATCTTGCATTGCATCTCAAAACAATGTTGATACGGTTCAAATGCAGAATTTCAAGATCTAGACTCACCAATAGAAGGCACTGACAACACTTGAATTTATACGTGCTCGCATTGTTAGAAGAACCACTGATACAGCACTAGCCTTTCCTGTGCTTGGACTTTGCTTAGGCAGAGAACAAGCCAAATGGGTTGAAATTAAAGCAGTGACTATAAGTTCTGATATCAACAAGTAACTTCGAGGTGCAAAAGGAGTATGCTATTGAATACCATAATAGCACTTATATCCTGTATTCTATAGGTAGTTGGTGAGCCACTATGGGAAACAGGACAGTGAGTTAGATGTGTCTTTGGTTTGATATAGGGCAGCTGTTCTTTATATTCTAGCATTACTTTTGCCCATACAATTTGGAGCATGTTTTGCCTTTGCAGTGCTGCCTAAAATTCAGATATGCATAAAAATTCAGCTGCTGTATATATATAACATTCAAGCAAATATGCAAAAATATGCTCCACTGGTTCTGGAAGCACCTCCAGTCTAATGATTTCAGTGGGGCTGGTATGCATGTGAGATTGTGGGTATTGTGTGTGTTGGCAAATATTTCTTCCAAGATTAATCTGTAGTGCAACAGTAGATCTTTGTTCCAGTGCCAGAAGTTTAGACATGGCCACTGGAGGATAACTGAGGTTTATTTAGCAATGCTTATCATTGGCTGAAATCCTGTTATGTACATTATGCCATGGAAGGCTAATGACATCATCAGTTGGAGTGCTTTTTCAGAAATTTAGCCTTTCTGATTTATCTTAAATGACCCTGAGTCTCCTGTGTAATCCTTTTCATTGCTGGGAAGCTATTTGTGGGGCATGGGGAGTTTTTTAATTAATGAAAATCACAGCTGGAAAATTAACATGGTTGATGTTGTCATCAGCCTGACACAACATACCGTATGGTAACAGGATTCCAACCTTTATGGTCAAGATCCAGCAGTATACAGTGAGAATTGGTGCTTTCTTCTTCTACTCTTACTAAAATGAAACAAGAACATCAACAAAAGAATCTGCACCATAGAGTTTCACATCCCTTGGGAGCAGGTGTTTTCGGTGTGCATGGGATGACAGGAAGACAGATGATTTCTAATGTTAGTGGTGGACATGGGGTCTTGTGTAAATACATCACTGATGCTAAACTAAGATACGGTAGTGCAATCACACTGAGCAGGAATGAAGCCAATTCAAATCAATGGGGTGTAGAAGTAAACACTGCGAGAAGTACGAGTTCTAATGTTTATTTAGATGTTAAATTCTAAATAGACATGCATAGGGTTGACGTACAGGAAATATATCTGCCTTGGTTAATTCCATAGATATTCTACCCTAGGTCACAGAGGTGCTATAATATATGTCTCAGTTTTGTTTTGCCATGCCATTGTTTGTGAAGATCCACAATAAAAATAGAGATCTTGTGAAATAACAAGGAATGACCACAAGATTGTAAGTTACTTTTCCAAGAGGAAA